TAACCTGAGCATCACTCAATTCCCGCAGATCTTTCACTTGATACCGTCAAATGATGGTGTAATCATTGCACTTAGCTTAAGGATGTGGTTTATGGAAATCATGATAAAAAACAAAAAGCACGAAATCCTATATGAACTTGTAACTCAACCCAAAGAATTATGGCATTTTTATGGATGTGCAGTGCCCAGTGCACCTGTTACTGGGCTACTACAGACAACATACGGTGTGTATTGAAATGCAGATGTCATGGGGACCAAATATGTTGTTGGGACAAATTTTTGTCCCCACAACCCAGTCCCAACATTTCTGACAAAAGAAATTGTCCCCTTGACGTGGTGAAGGCCTATCCGTGTACACTGCACGCCTAGCATGTGTAGTCTCAATACAAAAAGAAACTTTCATCTCAATGGGCACAAGATTGTACGCAGCACCTGTACAAGGATACCGCATGCATGACAGAAACCATGGAGTACACAAACGTGTTTCCTTGCTCTGTGATGTACGCACATGTCTGCTCAATGTCTCTCGGCTTGTGAGGGATATCTGGGCACAAACGTCCATAAATAAGTCCAAAATGAAAAAAGAAGAAGAAATGTTTAAGGATAATACAAGGCGTAGCAGATAAAAGTCTTTGCAGTTTAAAACCCTTCCTCGTTAATCTCGCCCTTTGCTATCTTTCAGCTTCATCACAAGAGCATCAAGCAGAGATACACACAGTCACCAAGGTAACGGTCTCCCAAAAAGTGTCATCTCTGGAGTCAGACATGTAAAATTCACAGCTCACAATTTGTGCAGCCTTCACTTGTTTCCAGATGCTGACCTTCGGGAGCTAATCAGGTGGACAGGATTTTGATGGGAATCTGATACAGGGAGGTCTTAAGGAGGCCTAAATGAACAGAGCAAGCGTCTAACATTGTCAGTAGGTGCGTGGAGGTAGAAACTGGTGAGACTAATTGTAATTCTGCATCTAATCCCATCAAGGTGTACAGTACACTAGCCAGCACCTGCTGGTGATCTTGTCCACACAAACCTCAAATTTGTGATCCACATTTTCAATGCATCCCTTATCTTACTTTCCCCAAAGCAAAATGGGCTTGAAGAAAGAGATTCTGATTGTTTTCCACAGCTTTTTTTCAAACCTACAGTCCCATGTCATTTTGCACTTGAACATGATGCAAAAGCTCAGCCATTACTTCCAATACCAAAGAAATTTATACAAATAAAAAGAGTGTAGGCCTACATGTATCACGTGCCATGACTGTAACATCTAGCTAGTCTAAGAGCCATTTTGTGTCCAGAAAGAACGAGTATTAAAATGTAAATCCTCCTGAGTTTCCCTCTGTAAACTACCAAAAAGCAACTGAATGAAACATGCATAACTTTTCTTGGACTATTTGCACAGGTTGGGAGATACACAGCGAGTGGGCATTAGGAGTGGGAGAAATCTCCTTTTGCTGCGACAGTCACTGACAGTAAAAAATAAATTCCTTCCACTTGATTTGCTCAGTACACAGACACATATATGGGAAATTTGACTGGTTTTGTCTGACAGGACAACTGTGTCAAGAATGCATCTTTGTTAAGGAGACATGCTTTAAACCACTGGATGGAAGAAACCCCTTTGAAATGACACACCTCACACTTTTGGAGGAAAACATGAAAGCCCAAAAAAAAAAAAAAAATCTAAGCCTTTTCATTCCATGCAAGCTGAGTGCGAAATATATGTACACAATCGACTTTGCACAAAATGGGACATGTTGGTCACAACATTTCCTGTTTTTTTCTCCCATGGTGCTGCCGCAAACTTTGGCATTTCAGATATGAGCTGTTTTGCCATATCACTGTGATAACATTGTTCCAGGCCATGAATCCGAATATCCCAGACTAAATAACAACAACCTTTATGGTGATGACGAATGTCACGTTTGCTGAACACTGGTACAGTAGGTAGTTATAAAGGCTGCTTTCAGGCTACCCTCCGGTCAGAAATTTAAAAAGGGTGGTACAAGTAGGGCCTTTGTATGCATTTTGGGTTGAATTTTCAACACTCCAAACCAAGGCTGGTCTCCTAAAAATTGTGCTTTGTTTTTAAGCAAAATTTTCATGATTTCAATCACTATCAGATCTTCCCATCTTTCCTTTTCTAAGGGGGACGTCTCTAGTCCCTTCCTCTTTCGGCTCTCAACTCTTTATCAAATTAAACTAAAGGGCCAAAATTTTCTACTAGTGCTGGTGTGTTTGGGTGCCGCCTGCATCAGGAGCATGCCCCTGTATTTTGATGATTGCTCCTGTCACTTTTATCATGATCCAAAATCCTGAACTGCGGTCTCCAAATCCTCTTGAGACAGTGCACCGGCCAGAGCTGGTTAAAGAGCTTTTCCAGGCACTAGTCATGGACTTTTCTTTTTATTAAAGCTTATCCAATTTGCAACGTGCTGTTCCTCAAAGCCAAGTTCTGCATGCCCGCAGGGGATACATCTCTAACTAGGTGCCAAAAGCTGGAAGTTAACTTGAAATCCTCCCCTCCCTCCGTGGCCCTCATACAAATATCCTGAACTTACGGTAGCTTTTTGGAAGCAGTGTACTGGTACCATCCATGCCCCAAGAAAGTCAAACAGTAACATCCAGCTGCTCTTCTCTAAAAATAAACCGGTAAAGAAACTGTACACTTCCTACAACCATGCAAACCTGAAAAATGCAGACCTGTGCCAAAAAGTATTTATCATCCAATATGGAAGACTGTCTAAAATGGGCTTCCATTTAGGGCCACTGCTAGACAATCACTGCTGTACGACCAGCACTTCAAATTTGTAAATGGTCAAATCTTCGTGGAACTGCCTTAGCAACAGTTGTTGGGACAAGTGGCCACTGTGGAGCCTACAAGTGGTCATTGAGAGTTGCCAATTTTAGGTAGGGTTGCTCTCCATGGGAATGTGGAGGTTGAGTTGGGATGGAGGCTGATGAAGAACACTTCACATTATAAGGTGCAGCAGTTTGCAATGAATATCTGAGCGGGCCGCTGAGCCATGGTTCATATTTTAATTGAGCGGTAATTAATTGCATTGTTCTTCCAAATCCATCAATCTACAAGTGTAAAAAGCTGCACATAAAGCTGTACATACAGGTATGTCCCACCTGCTTTCAACTGTGTATTCAATCATTAGATACATGCACTATACACATTATGAAAGCGCAGGGGTATAAGCTAATAACTCTGCCAGATCAGGGAGGTTTTAATTTGTCCTCATGATGAAGAAAAGGAGCGGGGCCGCATGGCCATAATAAATCTGGCTTTGCTGTTTCATTTTGCTTGGAACATAACTTGGCATCCATGTAGGAACACCAAGTGGGAGTACTCTGCATTCATTTTCATCTTTATCCGAAGGTTTTACTACAATGGTTACCAATACTTCTGATTTCCGATCTCACACAAGTTGGTCCTTGACTAAGGGCATTCCGCTGTGCCTAGTTACTTTTCAGGTGAAAAGGGATCACAGTTCTCAGCAACCATTCTTTAAAAATGTGAGGTTTCAAAAGAACAGTATGTCCCATTGAAACTGATGTCAAAATGACCTCACCTAAGAGAATCAAAAACACGGCAACAGGGCAAAGAACGTACCAGTAAGACAGAGGAAAGAGTAAAAACCTGTCCAAACAGTTATTGAAACTCTTTAAAATCTGTTGTCCTTTCCGTCCTGTAACCAGACTAAATTTAATGGCAGATCATTTATAAGACATCACCACAAAACGAAACGAACTGGAGGAGTTAAGACCACATAAAACCATACACGGCTCAGGAATACAGACCTCTTAACGAATGTAATTCAAAACACAGAGGACATTCAAAACAGACCATCATCCAGAATCTGTAAGAGGAATAAGAGATACATGTACCTTGCCGCAGTATAAAATTTTAACCGAGCTCACAAACGTGTGCTTCTTAAAAGGGAGGGCTGGTAGAAAAGCAGGTGGTTTATTTTCTAAACCATTTTTGAAAAACCCCTGTACATGTACTTTGCTATTGCATGTACACACAAAACTGCAGTTTGTAAAGCATTAATTTTTTTGGGGGGGGTGTATCATAGAGAGTTAAATCTGAACTTCCAGAACGGAGGACATCTTGTACGGAACATGTCAAGTACTCAAAAGTTTCATTTCACTTTCTCAAAGTTAAATTCTTCCGAGTCGATCTGATGGTTCGCAGTCCCTGAAACAATACACAGACACAGGTTACAACATTTGAACCCTTAGGAAGGAACTTAATTGGGTGTCCGGTAATGAACAAATGACATCCTTTTCACTTGTTGCATGATGTTCCAACTGCCATCAGAAGCAAACAAAGGTAATGCAATAATGTATGCACCGAAGTCCGTTAGCCAATTTGAAGAAAAACAGAATTCTGGCAATTACTGGTACAAAAAAAAATCCTGTACTTTCTTTCACACTGAGCGCAGCATAAGGATGGAACATGTCTGGAGACAGACACACTGTACTGTAAATGTACGCAGTCAAAAGAAACGAATGTACACTTGTACAGAGGTGACATGGTATAACACACAACACGATGAACGTCAGCAGACACAATTAACGGTGCAGTTTAGTTCCTTAAATGTAAAAAGTAACCGTAAACAAAATACGTACAGCAAATTTGCAAATCATATTTGCCTTTATTGCCTACAGAATTAAAACGTTTTCAACCAGCACATTAAAAAAAAAATACTGCAAATACATAAAATCCAGAGCATGTCAAAGAATACTTTGTGGTAATGTATCAACTTTCTCATATGTACAGTACACGGAACGCAGCACATGGTGTGACCAAAGTAAATGCTCCCAATTTCATGATTTTTAAAATGGCAATCACAGGTGCATCATATAACAGAACAGCTGCAGGCCGAGCTATTTTTTTTAGGGCAATGTACATGAATGCGAGAATGGCTTGCAGCAACACGTATATGCAGCCGCCACATGGCACACGGCTGGACTGTCGGGGACTTACCGCCGCCATTTCTGAATCCATATCACAAAGTGACTCCTTCAAGAGAACAGACAATGACAGAAGTTTAGAAAGGCATTCTGGGATACCCCGAGTCCAGGGGAACCCTGGGAAAGGACCGTGTCACACCCACGTGTAATCAGTCATGATGAATAATTCGATGTCTGTGTGGGCTGCACCGTCTCAGGGCGACCGGTCCTGAAAATGATGCCCTCTCGAAATTTGCACTGATGTGATGTGCAATGTTCAGGCCATAAACGGATGTGAGCATGTGTCACATGCAACATCACAGTCATACATGTAACTCCTTCAGATTTCCCGAGAGGAATCTGTAATTATGAAAGTCGCAGTATGCATGTCGTGTACATGTACATCACCTGTTGTACATGTACTGCTCTACACTGTGAGGTACCACTGCAAATTGGCTTCATTAACAGATGGTGATAAAGACAATGCCAAATATACCAGCACTCGTTACACAGCGAGCCTTAATTGGCTGAATTACTGAAGCACTGCTAACCAACCTGCTATTGAGAGCGAACAAACGGGGCAAACAGGGCTGAACACAAACATCAAATCAAAAGAGAAATTTGTCCAGCACATAAAAGGGTACAGAAGACACCCTTCCAAAATAAAGACAGGCACATGAACTTCACATTTACATCGGAGCACTACATACACGTACATATAAATGGTGAGATAAGACTTGTGTGATTTGCAATACATGTATCTCTTGGATTCCACACAGCGAATATGTGTCTACATGTAGTCTACTTAATACAAAGCAACCCAGCTAAGCTGCCAAATTTTATTTTGCCCCCCTCCCAGGATGATTTTTAAAAAATGTCTTCTTTTCCATCCCTTCAAGTTACAATTATAATGAATTAGGGAATCTTGAAGTATGGGTACCATAGGTGTATAACTAAACATGGCTGACGCTAAACAAGCAATTCATGACTCATGCACCGCCTGCCTGTGTCGATGCTTGAGTTACTTATGGCAGGATGGGTCTGACATGAAACACCTGACACACGCAGGAGCAGGCACGATGGCTCTTGTAGGGGTAGGAGCCAAGCTAGCACCACAGTACCCCTTGGATGGCATCACCTGATGAGTCACACCACATCCTTGAGCCAAGGAGAGGCTGAGGAGAGTGCAGTCATGAATATTCACATATATACATGAAACGGATAATCATGAATATGCAGTCTGTGCAACAGGCTCTGAATAATGGAAATACATGTACGTTGATGAACTCGCTGATGAATTTTGGGGGAACGGGGACATCTCCAGAGGGTTCTGTTGAAGTAGTCTGTCAGTCAGCGAGCTATTTCTGCAGACCGCATGTATGCACCAGAAGTTACAGTAGCTGGTCTTTTTGCTTTATGAGAAAATTACTATTCGTCAACCACCACATACATATGCATGGCGTGAGACACTTTGAACAAATAGCTAGTGTATACCAAATTAAATTGTGACTCAGCTACATGTAATTCCACAACAAACAAAAGCTACAAGTGCAATGAAGGTGATATGCCTGCCATGTACATGTAGCAAACAGGTGAACAGCATGAAAATATCAACAAACACTGAAGGGACATGTAAGAGATACACGAGGCGATGAACAACAACGCAACATATGTACATGTAACTGAAAATGATAACAAAAAGTATCTTCAGGCAAACTTGAATTTAAAATTCTCATTGGTCGATCCATGGCCACAAGTAGTGTAAGATATAACCATATTGCACAATTCATTTCAAACCCTGCGTAATGCGCTGTTCTAACTCGACGCATTACACTAAAAATGCACAACTGGAAAATTCACTTAAAATTCAACAGCGGCGAGTTTGTGTGCACAGGCCCTGATAATATTTTTACAGTGCATCAAGTTAACTTGAAGAATAATTCATTATCACACTTGCATTCATGGAACATGGAATAATGTAGCACGTCTGTGTTCCACATACTGGTACCAAGAGGCCGTAGTACATGTACGTCTGTGTCCCGTATACCGGTACCACAAGGCCGTAGTACGTCTGTGTCCCGTATACCGGTACCACAAGGCCGTAGTACGTCTGTGTCCCGTATACTGGTACCACAAGGCCGTAATACGTCTGTGTGCCATATACTGGTACCACAAGGCCGTATTACGTCTGTGTGCCGTATACTACGAGGTCTTTGGTTTTCCTTACATAGACGCACTACATTATTCTATGTTCCACTCGCAGTTGTGTGATAACTGAAATAATACAACCTTTTTTTAACACAAAAAACCCACATTTTGCACTGCAAAATGATATACTTTAGTGAGCCTACATGTACATTTGAGGTTTATACCAATCACCCTCGTCATTAACTACCTGTACGTACATGTACATTACATTCATGTGAGTTTCACTTTATAACTCTAAATTTCTCATTTAACATCAGGAGAAGTTGTAACCAGGTACATGTATTCCAAATGTGAGGATGGCTGACTGCAGCCTGTATTATGATGTCTGATCTGCATTACACATGGGTGCACATACGCACTGTAAAATGTAGTCTGGAAAGGTCACTGACTTTGAATCTGGGTCATGTGACTGATGAGGCCTAAAGTGTGCTTCCTAGGTTCACACTTACATGTAGGTATGGCATGGTTTAACTTGTACATCTACAGGAGGTACAGGTGCCATACACAGATTGTTTGTAAATCATGTTCGCTGTCTTCTGCCATGTCTGGGTGTTAATGCTGATGTCAGCTACATGTTTGCTAAGACTTTTGATACATACATGTACGTTTCCATATCTGCAGTGCATAATTTTACAATATTTTACCACATATACCGTAAATGTACATGAACATGTAGTTGATAACTTTTACAAATTTATTGCTTGTTAGATAATATTCCACTGAGACCTCTCTAATGACATACACAAGATGCACAGTGCAAGGTATGGAAATTGGCTGGTTTAAGGAAAGTTGTACTCCTATGTTCTTCTCAAATGTCTGGCTGTAGAACATTCTGTGACCCCGACCACATGCTGGACAAAGTGATGAATCATCCAATCCATAAATCCATGTGAGCGTTCCTCGCATTCTCCCCTGCGGGCATACTTGGTCCATGTGAAATTACGCCTGAATGTTCTTGAATGATTTGGCGGGCCCTCTGCCGAGCTGAGTGTGCCGCCACACTCTAGGGCTGCTTGCGAGGTTTTGAGATGTTCTAATTAGCCTAGATGTGAGTACAGATCTCAGACACCTATCATATGCATGAGCAGGTTTGATCCAGCCCTTGCAGACTGGGCGTCAACCTACATGTTTGCCTTAATATTTCCAAGTTGCTAATTGGTGTGGCACTGTGAAACAAAACTGTATTGCAGACATCCAAAAACTGTCCAAACTAGCCAAGACACCATTCTGATTGAAACACCTTGTATGAGACTCACAGAGAACACAAAAAGCTACAAGTTTTGCCAAGAAAAATGGTCGCCTGAGGTAACAACATCCACAAGCGACAAGTTTGTGTACCCAACGCAACTCTGCTGCAAATACATGTACATTTAGTCATGTACAACCTCTGATCTTTAAAATAGTCAATTTAATAAGAATAAGATCACTGGTTTGAAAAAGAAGGCAATGACCAATGATTGGTTGAAAGCTGTCCACACACTTTATCATGACAGCAAGATGACTGCTGATTGGTCAAAGTTTGAACTCAAAATGCAAATTCCTTGCATAATTAATCACTGAATTATAATATTAAAGAATAATATCAAAATATGTAGATGTACTGTATCGTACACTGTAAGTCTTTTATTTCTGCAGTCTGTTCATTTCAAGAGCATTAAAAAAGTCCTTAATTATGATATGAAGTTACCAAGACAAAAGCCCTTCAATGTGTGCTAAACTTAGATGTTTGTAAAACTCTTTCTGAAGACGGACATTTCTGACTTCTTCATTTCAGGGGATGGTGCTTGCAGTTGCCATTTTTCATCAGCTTTTTGTCTTATCTAGTATAAGTCTTATCTAGTATAAGTCTTATCTAGCATAAGTCTTATCTAGTATAAGTCTTATCTAGTATAAGTCTTATCTACATGTACATGTAGTATAAGTCTTATCTAGCACAAGTCTTATCTAGTATAAGTCTTATCTAGTATAAGTCTTATCTAGCACAAGTCTTATCTAGTATAAGTCTTATCTAGTATAAGTCTTATCTAGTACATGTATAAGTCTTATCTAGTATAAGTCTTATCTAGCATAAGTCTTATCTAGTGCCTGTATGTATATGGAGATACTGAAGGTCATGACTGTCAAATACAGTCGAACCTCATTAATAAGACCAAAATACAAGACTCTGTTTATAACAAGGAAATGTTTACTATGTAGGTCCCAATCCTTTGTTTTTCATTGTTTCTGTTTCCTGATAATAGTTTACAAGGTTCCTGTTATAACAAGGGAATTTGCCAAGTCCAAAGGACGTTCTATTAACGAGGTTCGACTGTACACATTTCTGAGCAAAATGATGGGCCATAAGCAAATACAGTTTATAAAAAAGTCCCTTCTTACAAATCCAAGCAGTCACCAAGACTACCGTGTACAGTACATTATTACTGGTACCGGCATGTCTGATGGCAAATGAGTGGACGTAATCCCTCAAAGAGAGAAGAACCTGAGGGCAAATACGGGTACCTGCTTGGATAATGAAATCCAATTAATTGATATGTATGGTACACAGTGGCTAAGGTACCTGTAAAGGCTCTTTATTAACACAGAATTATGTTCCTTCAAGCCTGTTTCTTCTTCCATTCTTGTTTTCCAAATTCATCCTCTGTAACTACCCCACAGTGTATGAATCTTGTGAAGCAGTTCTGTGACTCTTTACCGGTATATATGAGTCTTGTAAGGAAGTAGTTCTGTGAGATTATTCCCTTTGATAAAGCGGGAGGTACAAGTACCGTAGATTAGCATATTCAGGCAAGCAACTTGGACTTTGACCAAAAATGGGGAAATTCTGATCTTTACAAGACTTTGTACAGTGTACACGAAGACTGG